AGGAGACGACGAAGGCAATGATGAGAAGGAGACGACGAGAATGATGCGGTGAAGGCAGCGGAGAGAAAGAGGCAAATATGAGATGGAGACTTAAGTGGTACTGTTACGACAGAAAAAAAGGTTTGTAGACAGTACAACATGTTGTAACCATAGATCTCTTTTTTTGAAAAAAAAATCATGGATCTCTATCTCTTCAAATTTGAGATTTACAAAAAGTAATTTATAAGTAGTTTTATGTAACCTTGAAAAGAAAAGAGAAGAAGATAAGAACAAAGAAAGAGAAAAAAGAATAAAAAAGGTTTTGGGAAATGAGAAAATATGTGGCTGAGTTTAATTCCCTATGATATAATAGTTTAGTTTTTCAGTTGTTTAGTTAAAGAGTGACGAGAAGAAAATGATTCGTTAGAAAAAAGTGTGCTAGTATAACAAACTGCATTTAAGTGTTATAAATAACTTAAAACTGCCTCTCAGTGTAATATTTTCAATTTTTAATCTAGGTATGGTTGACAGGTAATTTTTTTAACTTTTATTGATAAGTAACTAATCTTTTTGTTTACAGGTACAAACAAAAAGCGTGGCACTGAGAAGATCTATCAAAAGTGGTTGACAACTAGTTTACCACAATCTTTACCCCGATGAATCTTTTGGGTGAGATAGATAATATCATATATTCATAGATAATACGAAGGGGATAATACCTTCGTTTATTTTTCTATATATATATATATGTGTGTAAATAGAAAATAAAATAAAAAAGAAGGTGGAAAGTGGTCAAAGGCAATAATGGAGAAGAGAATGATGGTGTTGAGTAATGTAGAATTTCATGTGAAGGTGTTGGTTCCGAAAACGAACAAAACATGGCCTTATGTGGTGAAACTCCTTTTCAGTGTTTTAGCCAACATCCAATTCTTCGTTGTTTTATATTGGGAGTGTGTATTTTTCCGGTTAATTTTTTTTTTTTTTTTGAAACACATCCTTATATTAAATCAACCAGAAAGGTTAGGTGACAGCCATAAAGGCTTCAACCTCCAACAAACATTGTTTTCCGGTTAATTTTTTTATTTATGGTATTTCATTCCTCATCCGTTTTTCGAAGATGTTCTAGCTTCAAGTGTGTATTTCGAAAAAAAAAAGTGTGTATTTCGAAAAAAGTTAAAAATGTATATTTTGTTTAGTTTTTTAAGTGTGGAAGTTACAATACTACATTTTATGCAATTAACAGAAGTTTTCCAACGCAATCAATGATACCATAATGACTAGAGAATAATCGATTCTCTAACCTAGATTTATAGGACAACTATTGCTGATCAAGTAAAAACCACTATTCCAGTACCATCTGGTTAACATAATGAACTGTTTCCTTTCTCATAATTTGACGACATTCATAGAAGCTGCGCATGTGTGTGTTAAATACCACATGTGCGCTACCTTCTTTCTTATATACACTATTAAATAGGAATATAGCATGTTCTTCTGCTTACGATCCATTAACTCGAATCTTTGTCATGGCATATTTATTTATATAAATATACCAAGATACGTTTTTAATATATTGGACTCACTTTGTGATTTAATTTCCTGAACGTATAAATACAATGTGATTTAAAATGACGATGGATATCAATTTTAGAAAGCTGTAATCAGTTCCTACCAAGTACTGAGTAGACACGTTTTGAGATAACTGATCACTGAAATTAGTGCACCCAACGTTTATCCTAAATTCCATGTTATCATTTGAAAGTTGTAATACTTCCCTTCATTACGATTTGCATTTATACCTCCTGTCTTTGGACTAAAGCCCATAAGGAAAAAGACCTAATCTGAACCCATGCTAAAATATATGGTAAAAGCTTTTGTTGTTCAATGTATGCATTGGTTGGAAAATCCGAATTGTCTACTATTTCGTAGCTCTTTGCACGTAGCATTTAGACACCAGACGTTCTAAAGTTCCCATCTTATCATTAAAAATCTAAGAAGATGATGATTCGTGTGGACTTCAATTTCTATACACATTTGGCTTCATTACAAAACAAACTTACGTATCGTACTACTTTTCCACGCAGCCACGCATTCATTTGGAAGCATACAACTAGCATCTTCTTATTTCTTAGAATCCCAAAACAAAATTGTACAAAAAAAAAAGAATCCAAAACATACACAGTAATTTACTACTCCCTCTCCGGATCCCTCTCTCTCTCTCTAAGTGTAAGCTCTTCCACCACAAAGTTTAAGGTGATCTTACAGATCTCTCGCTCTAGATATTTCTGATCATCATATTCTCATAAATATCTTTAGCCATTACCAAATATTCACTGATTCATCCGATTTTAGGTAATATTATTGTCTTAGCTTCGGTAGACTATGATTCTAATTTGTTTTAAATTTTCTAGTTCTAGAAGTTCATATGAAATTAATAAATATCATAACTAAATATTTTTTTATTTTGAATTAACCAATATAATATATATCGTATATATAAAAATAACTAAAATAGTGAAATAATCCTGTTTTATAAAATGATCTCAATTAAACAAAGACTTAACCGACGATAATCCAGTCTTAATTCAAGTAAGTGAACGAAAATAAAATTAGGAGTTGCCGAACATGAATTATATATAATTGTGCTAAAAGGTCACAAAGTCAACTATTTGAAAAGAAGTTAACCAAACTAAATTTAAAAACGTCTAAGGAAATTAAAAATTGTTCAACTTTTTGTCACAAATTAATTCATATAAACTCCTTTTCTTGAACTTATAAGCTCTGTTTTTCTACTTCTTTTGGTAGGGTGTAAAAATGAGTTTGTGGTATATAATTATTGCACTCGTCTTCTTTGCATTCATACTCATTGCAAAAAACACGAAGAAAAGAAAGAAGAATCTACCTCCTGGACCGCCGAGACTTCCCATAATAGGCAACTTGCACCAACTGGGATCGAAACCTCATCGTTCCATGTTCAAATTATCCCAAAAATACGGCCCTCTAGTGTCATTGAAGTTTGGAAGTGTATCTACAGTCGTGGCATCAACATCAGAGACTGTAATGGACGTCTTAAAAACATTTGACATAGATTGTTGTTCACGACCTTATATGACGTACCCTGCAAGAATCACATACAATCTAAACGACCTCGTTTTTTCTCCTTACAACAAATACTGGAGGGAAGTACGTAAGATGACAGTTGTTGAGCTCTACACAGCTAAAAGGGTACAATCATTTCGACATGTAAGAGAAGAAGAAGTGGCCTCCTTTGTTGATTTCATCAAGCAGTCTGCTTCATTGGAGAGTTCAGTTAACTTCAACCAGAAGTTACTGAAGCTGTCGGGAAGTGTTATATGTAGGGTTGCATTTGGGATCAATCTTAAAGGGAGTAAACTTGAGAAAACATATGAACAAGTCATTGTAGAAGCGTTTCAGGTGTTGGGGAGTTTTGCAGCTGCGGATTACTTTCCGGTTATCGGCAAAATCATCGATAGGATCACGGGGTTACATGGCAAGTGTGAGAAGGTTTTTGAGGCAATAGATTCTTTTTTTGATCAAGCTATAAAGCATCACCTAGAAGATGAGAGTATTAAAGATGATATTGTTGATTTGCTCCTTAAGATGGAAAGGGGAGAGGTTGGACTTGGAGAATATCATCTTACTCGAAACCACACCAAAGGAATTCTTCTGGTAAGTAATACAAAACTTATCAATTCAAACAAACTCCATACCTGTGCCGGCTTAGATAAGTAGACAAGCCGTGCGACCGCCTCCCATCCAATCCGTTGTCCCCTTATTTTTTAATAAATAAATGTCTGATTTTATTAAAAAAAAATATATCTATATATTTTTATATTAAAATGAGAAAAGGGGTCCAGATTTTTTTTTCTATGAAAGTATTTTTATTTTTATCAAAGTTTTATTTTAAAAAAAAAAAATACTTCTAGTATTCTGAAAAAAAAACAAATATCTAAATGATTTTTTTTTAAAGATTATTTTGAAGACTTCATTTTTTTCCCATGACACTATTGAGCCAGCTTGCTCCACACTCTCATTTTGTTGTTGTTTTTATTATTACAGAACATTCTTACTGCTGGAATAGACACTTCTGCCCAAACTGTGACATGGGTGATGACTCATTTGATTGCAAACCCCAGAGTTATGAAGAAAGTGCAAGCCGAGGTAAGAGAAGTGATCCAAAACAAAGACAACATCACAGAAGATGATATAGAAAAACTCGAGTATCTCAAACTGGTGATTAAAGAAGCATTTAGGATAACACCGCTTGTGCCACTTCTAGTTCCAAGGGAGGCTTCAAAAGATGTAAAGATCGCCGGCTATGACATTCCTAAGAAAACATGGATTCATGTCAACATTTGGGCTGTTCATATGAATCCAAGCGTTTGGAAAGATCCAGAAGCTTTCATCCCCGAGAGGTTTATGGATAATGAGATTGACTATAGAGGTGTAAACTTTGAGTTGTTGCCGTTTGGTAGCGGAAGGAGAATGTGTCCAGGAATGGGTATGGGTCTGGCTTTAGTACACTTGACACTTATCAACCTTCTCTACCGTTTTGATTGGAAGCTTCCTGAAGGAATGAAAACTGAAGATGTTGATCTTGAAGAATCATATGGGCTTGTTTGTCCTAAGAAAGTTCCACTTGAGCTTATTCCGGTTCTTACCCAGTGGACTTGATCTCACTTTGCTTTATAAACAAGGTAATATTCGTGTTGTGACTTGCACGTCAAAATAATAAATGATGTAGTATTTAGATCTCAACGAATTTAAGAAGACATTGATTCTTACGTTTTTTTGATTAAATAGGAATCTTTGTATATATCTTAGCTTCCGCTACATCAATAAACCTTAAATAAATGTATTTGTATGTTTTTTAAAATGATTTCTTGAAGAGGTGTAAGTTTTCTGATATAATATAAAGATTGTATACCATTATCATCAAGAAAATGATTGTTCACATAAACACAACTTCTTGGGATCATTATTATTTATTAGGACTAGAGCTAAGCAATCACAGGTGGTGTTGGAGGAAGAAACTGTCTTCTCCTTTCACCTCTTCTTTTTCTTCTTCGGTTTATAGAACCTGTTGAAGAAAGAGAAGAGCTAGGTGGAAACCTACTTGAACTGTTCCTAAGTTTCTTCACTTCTGAAATCTTCTCCTCCTTTGATCTCACTTGCCTCACCTTTGTCTCATTCAGCTCTGCTGGAAGAACACAGTTGCAGAACAAACCTAGGATACAAACACAAAAATAAAAATAATGAGCTTTTTTACTAAAACAGAGTAAAAAACAGAGCCAATGCTCTGTTTTTGGTTGCTTCTTACCGAAGCGAGCAAGACGGTTAACCCAACTAGGGATAGATCTTCTGGTCAGCTGAACACAAACGTCATTGCAGAAGTGATTACAGTTTTTTGTAATGAGATGGTAAGTATTTCCGCTATACCCTTCAGCAAGTTTCTCCATAAAGGCACAAACTTGTTCAGGATCCAAATCTGTTCTCCCTATCAAAATAGACTTCCTGAATGTGAAACCTGGACATTGCTTAGGTTCCACCTCGAAGATCCCCGTTGTTGAATGCTCGTTTGCTCCAAAACCATACTCAACCCCATGAACTAACCAAAAACAATTGATCCAAGATTAGGTCAAAAACTTTCCATTTTTAGAAACTACTAAAAAACAAACAAACGAACTAACAAAGGTGATACCTTCAACACCAGAGTGGTAGACACCGAGTCCTAACCAGTAAGCGTAACCATTGATGGGTGTGAGATCGTATACATTCAGGTAAACCGGAACCAAACCGGCTTTCTTTTTGCGGCCGTTCACCATCACCATTCTACACAACATCTTTCTTTGAACCAACCAAAAGGAATAACTCTCAAGACTCGAAGGTTTTAAAGACTTTAAAGATTTGAGAGAAAGAATGTTATTCTTGGTGGAGACTTCTGCTTCTTATGTCAATCTATGAGAGAAGCTTCTGATGTTTCTTTCTTTCTTAAAAGCCACATTCTTTCCTGCTTTCTGTCATCTTTTTATTTAGGAACACAGATTGTAGTAGTCCCTATAATTTAACAATTTTTACATTTTGCCCCAATATTATCCAAATGGTGTTTTCAAGTCAACGAGGACTTACTTGAGAGCTGAGAAGAGTGCCAACATTGAGCTTTAATCAGCCGTACAAATAGTAAAAATCGACTGTGGCAGTTTGGCGGCCAAACTTACATGAACTCTCCAAGTTTTACCATATTGATCACAATATTAGTCAGCAAGAAAATCAGATTTTCTTGCTAAAACGGTCTAAAGATAGATACTTATGTATAGTATTGTGTATTACATATAAATGACTAAATTATTTTAAAAATATATAGCACCACTATACATAAGTTTTAGATTAAATTTCATAAAATTATTCGTCTTTTTTTAAAAAAAAATATAGCACTGGACATAAGTTTTAGATTAAATTTCATAAAATTATTTGGAAGAATCGAATAATTGATTAGACATTAGACTTATCATTTCACCTTGGTGATATTCTGGAAACTGGTACTACCAAATGTCATAAGCTTACTTACCAAAATATCACTAATTAATTAGTAATGAGAAATGGTTTAGTCTCGAAACAGTATTGTTGTTGTGGTGATGGAATAAATTGGCCTTGTTGTTAGTTAAACCGGTTTAGCAGACGCAATGAATCACCAATGGATGATTGTGTAATAAAACGCGAGGAGGGTGGAAGACATATAA